AAGAATGCAGATTTGGAGGTTTGGACATTTTTAAGGATAGCTCCCAGCGTTAAGTTTTATTGTTGAACCTCTATCCTGGAATTAGTCTGTGTGTCTGTGTGTGTGGGTGGGTGGGTGGTAGCTGTGAGTGGGATTCAAGAAATCTGCGCCCGATCCTCGTCTCAATGTGCAATTATGACAATAATTTTTTTTTAAAATAGTTTTTGGTGAACAATTTTAATTTTTTGTTCCCATGCATAATCCCACAAGCCGTCTCACCCATGGAACGCTCTTGCCAGGGACGTGACAAAGAGGTGGGGGTGAAGGTTTCAGCTGCCCCCGGGTGCTATATTTGGAAGGCGCCAAAACGTCATTTTACAACCAAAATATATGTATTAATATGTACTTTTTTTTTTGGGGGGGTGGGGGAAGGGGGCGCAAAGATTTAGGCTTGATTTGCCAAGTCATTGTTCCGCATACACTCCTGCCTCCATTAACTTTTATAATTTAACCCCGTACCTATGAGACACCTTTGTACCAAGTTTTTGAAGTCATTAGCTATGAGTGAACAACTTGATGCTAGTCATTTTTCTATTGTATAACCTCCATTTATTGTTGGCGATGAGTTTAAAAAGTAAATTTAATAGAAAAATCACTGCAAATTTTATAAGATTAAACATCATAAGCAGTTCTTAAAAATAAAAACTATCTAAAAAAAGAAATGAAACAAAAATATATTTGATTGACATAGTTTTTTTTAGAGTCTTGCTTAAGATTTGCCCAGGAGAGTCAAAGCTTTAACTAATGGATGTAATGACCTTAGTCTGTCATTAGACTTCAAAGAACGGACGTAATGACACAGGCTGCCATGAGACGTTAACTAACTGATGACATCAGGCTGCCATTAGACTTCCCTTAATGTGCTGATTTTTTTAAAATTTCATACACTATTTTCATTCAAATCCGCCAAATGGATTTGTGTTTTCGTCATTAATAAGTGTAACAATAATATGAACGTGCTTCATGACCTTGGCTTACGTTGCGGCTTTGGGTAGTACATGCTGAAGTGCACGTATCAGAGCCGATGGCAAAACGAGCGTTTAATGAGATGGACAATTATAAAGATTGCGATCAAACAGTGTGGATATTTATGTGTTCTTTCTTGTTCTGTCTTGTCTGCCGAAGAAGGCTTTTAGTCGAAACTTTATCCTACCTTTGTCTTGTCTGTTTAAATTCAAGCTGCAACATCATTTCTTGTAACGTGACTCCACGTTTTCATGAAGTGGTGTAACAAGGTATGTTACAGTTGTTATTGCTGGGATATTTTCTTATTTTCTGTCTCGGGTTGGCCAAAACGTACCAAAGTGTCCTCGTTTTATAGCCATTTTAATTGTTTCTATAGTATAGTAGTTACTATCCTAGTGTCTCATTTTTTTTAATTTTACTTAGTTTACATGTTTTTAATAATTGTAAAGCGCTTAGAGCTTTAAGGTAAGCGCTTTATAAAAAAATGCCTAAATAAATAAATTTCATAAACCAACGATTAGAAGCACTGTTTCTGAAAGACTGGCATCTAGTCGGTTTCTATGTTGGTTATTTACAACAAATAATGAGGTTCTTATAAAATTTCGTGGGTTTGGGGTCGACCTGAGAGTAGTTTATTACTTAAAAGACATAAAGCCTGATGACCTAACGACTGTTCTACCACTACTCCCAAGGAACAAGAATTACAACATTTCATATATTTCAGAGTAGGTTTCAAATCAATGATAAGCCTAGAGATGAGACAGATAAAAATATAATGCGAAATCAAGTCGTGTACTCCGAGCAGCTCATATGGATTACTGGGATATTGTTGAAAATTGGAGTAATATTTCGCAGACATTAAATCTATGAATAATATATATGTCTATATATATATATAAATATATTTATTTTTCTTTGTTGTTTAGTTATAACTGGATAATGTTGAAATGGATAGTCAAATTTCGATTAAGAATTTAATGAATGTGTGTAATTTATTTTATCAGCCAAGACTTTAACTGGATAGTTAACTTCAACTTGATATTACATCTTGTCACTCAAGATGACGCACTAATGCAGACATCAGCAAGCTACTGGCTTGCACTGGAAAGAACTGAGATGAGTTGTTTCTTTAATTGGAAAACTGTTAAGATGGCCAAAAACCTTTATTTTTATAAGCACACCAAGGAAATATACGCTCATGATCGCATAAGCGCCCCGATAACAAACCCCCGACAAGTCATCCCGGTGTGAGCCATGTGCTTTAAAGGTATCATCAACATATTCATTATGGTCCAGTTTATTCAAGGAAAAGAACAGATCTGACACTGAAGACTACTTCGCTCGTCATGATAACCCGCTTAACAAAGTAGAACAGCATGATGGTCGTCTCAGTGAATTAATAAGTTGAATTGCAATCAGTAACGTTTGTTTTAAGTTATCGGTAACTTTATTTTTTTTATATCGACTGGCTTGAAGCATATTTAGGCAAGAACTTACCCAGCCAATCAGCACAGGATCCAGCCATGCAGTGCGTATGGTGGCTGTAAGCTTTCTCTCGGACATTTTAACCTACAATGGACCATCTTGTTTAAATCATCGCAACAGATGATAGTGATTGTGCATCCAATGCACCTAAAATATCTTTGGAATAAAAAAAATAATATGTCTTATTCCGAATTCTTTTTTAAACACTAACTGTCTTATCTTTGACTGACTGGTATGGTTAGTGTCCTAAAAATATGACCTCTCAGATTGGAGCCGAGTAACCAGTAGTTTGCTGATAATTTTTTTAAAAATTTCTCTAAAATGTATCATATGCCTTGACATAACGAATGTTAAATGCTATAATTTGTACTACACTCGATGCGCAAGTGTTTCAAACGTCACTACTGTTCCAACAGTAATTCACACTCATATCATCATTGAAGCAGTTAGCACTGTATTGTAATTAGTATAATACTGTTAGCTAGACTAAAAAAAAATAAGGTTGGGGGTCAGCACAACATAGGGAACTGTATTAAAGGGTCACCGCATTAGGAAGGTTGAGAACCACTGTTCTACACAAAAGTTCAAGTTTATTGACTTGAGAAAAATTTATATAATTCATGTTTCCATCGACAAACTGAATCAATAGAACAGATCACGGACAAAGGGAGAGTATAATATTTTTAGAGCAAGACCGGTAAGGAAACAAAGTTGAGACCCTTGCATTATACAGCATAAGAGAATTGCTTACAATCTTACGGGAAGCGGTTTGTGTATAAATGCTGTATGCTTTTAATAGATTAATGAGACACACACAACAAATGGAATTGATATCGTTTCAGTAAGCTTTAATTAAAGTTAAAATTTACATTTAAAATAGATTGTATGAATTTCTTGTGAAGATCTTTATTATATAATGTATAGGATCAAATAGTGGCCAATACATATTTATGTATATGATCTAATAGTGGCCAATACATATTTATGTATATGATCAAATAGTGAACAATACATATTTATGTATATGATCAATAGCTTTCAATACACATTTATGTATACGATCAAATAGTGGCCCATTCAAAATTAATTTTAAAACGAATAGTCGATTCAAATAAAATTAAACTTATTATTTCATAAATAGGTGACCAGATGAAATTAATCTTTCGAAAATATTCGGCCTTTTAAATTTATGCTGACTTCCGTATGACATCGTATGCCGACTTCTGTATGGCATCATATGCCGACTTCTGTATGACATCATTTGCCGAATTCCGTAGGACATAATATGCCGACTTCTGTATGACAACATTTGCCGAATTCCGTAGGACATAATATGCCGACTTCTGTATGACATCATTTGCCCACAAAATCGCCTCTTAAAACCCGTGACGTCTAATATTCCCAAGCAGTACCTGCAATCAACAAGCACGGGATAGTCGTGCTGACATTCCTGCAATTATGTTTTTGTTTTCATAAATGTTAGTTATATCTGATAATGTTCAGTCCTTTTCCCGTTGCAGAGACTACCAGAAGATCTTCACCATCACTGATCTTCGTAGACATCTTTCCTTTCCAAAGACTCTTTCTCCTTCTACGACTTCACAACTCTGCTAGCCCCTGAGAAACGCCTTCTATCGCTTCAAACGCTTGTTAAGTGGAATATGATTCGGTCCATTGTTTTCAGACTAATAGTATTTCCATCGTATTTCTCATAAGGCAGAGATGAGATTTTATACAGGGTCTCCTGGCCCACGAGACGGGCCACATCTCCTTCTCTGTGACATCTCGTGCTCTGTGACATTTCCTCCTCTGTGACATCTCCTTCTCTGTGACATCTCATGCTCTGTGACATCTCATGCTCTGTGACATCTCCTTCTCTGTGACATCTCTTGCTCTGTGACATCTCCTTCTCTGTGACATCTCCTTCTCTGTGACATCTCCTTCTCTGCGAATCTCATGCTCTGTGACATCCCATGCTCTGTGACATCTCCTTCTATGTGACATCCCCGTGAATCTCCTGCCCTGTGTGCATCTCCGGCTCTGTGACATCTCCCGCCCCGTGAATCTCCAGCTCTGTGACATCTCCAGCTCTGTGACATCTCCTGTCCTGTGTCATCTCCAGCTCTGTGACATCTCCTGCCCTGTGACATCTCCAGCTCTGTGACATCGCCTGCCATGTGATATCTCCTGCCCTGTGACATCCCCTGCTCAGTGCATACTTACAGCATTCCATAACCGCTATCAGGTAAACACGCCCAGGCAAAAGCGGAATTCCTGTTCTTTTTTTTTTAATCTCCCGTTCTTTAGCTCATCTTATTGCGTAATTATCCCCTGCAATCTGTGGAGATTAGCCATAAGGGACCCGCAACACAATACGAGAACCACGGATGTATATCAGCAGCGCTATCAGTGGTCGTGTCGTTATTGCATATTAATACAGATAATAATCAAATAATCAAAACAACATGATAAAACACTGTTACTATAAATTATGATTACGTGAATATGACTATTGATCTCTGAGCCAACTGCTGAAATGTACTAAAATCCCAATTACATTTAGGTTGCAATAGACGATACAGGTGAGTTACAGGTAGGTTACTGATTCAGTGTTAACTATTTGGAATGACAAAAATGTAATGGAAAAAAAAATGTGTTGCAGTCGGTGAGTAGGTTGAAGTTTAAGACGTTGCAAACCAGAATTATGGAAATAATTTTTTTTTATTTCAAATCTTTTCCTAAAAAAAAATTGTTCCTCGCCAGGGCCAACAAAACGTAGTTTGGACGTAGCTGAATGTAAACGAACAGGTCATACTTCTGGTTAATCAGTAAACAATTTTTTTTTTTAAATTTATGACGTGCAGTGGTGAAAGTGAAGATGAAAAGTTTTGTAGAAGAACCCGTTTCAAGATATATATGTAGGTCATAATTTAAGTACTCTCGGGCGAGGTTTAAAAGAACATTACTATTGTGCTTGATAACCGTTATGGCAGTCTTATTGGATCTCAACGCTGATTAACATCCAGCCTACTTTTCAAGCCTGAACGATATCTTGTTCCATTATTTGTTTGCTCTGTACTCGTTGAATCTACTCCCTCCTACACTATGCGTCAGTGCTCACCCGTTTCCAAAATGCAACCATTTATCGAAGGGTGACATTTGTGATTTTGAGCGAGAATAATCGTTGCTGCCTTTCGTTAAGAGCGAAATAAATAAATATAAGATTTACATCGTGAAATGTCATAGACATCACGTGAAGAATGGTATTCACTTACTAGTCAATGTATCCGGTGTTGATGACATCACGTGAAGAATGGTATTCACTTACTACTCAATATATCCGGTGTTGATGACATCACGTGAAGAATGGTATTCCCTTACTAGTCAATATATCCGGTGTTGATGACATCACGTGAAGAATGGTATTCACTTACTAGTCAATATATCCGGTGTTGATGACATCACGTGAAGAATGGTATTCACTTACTAGTCAATATATCCGGTGTTGATGACATCACGTGAAGAATGGTATTCACTTACTAGTCAATGTATACGGTGTTGATGACATCACGTGAAGAATGGTATTCACTTACTAGTCAATATATCCGGTATTGATCAAGTTTGCTTTCTCAACAAAACAAAATATTTTTTTAAAAATAATAATAATCAAAGCCTATCAAAGGACATTTTAATGCAGAGTCCTTTCAAAAACACTTCGCTAAAGTACAAATTAAAATGATCAATTTTCTCTTATAAAATAAAAAAAATATTTTTTTTAAAATAACTCTTGTAAAGATTGATTTTCTTTGGCCAAGACTGTTTCAGTTAAAAAAACACTATTTGAAGACTACGATTCTCCACCTCTGCTATTTAAATTTTGTTATTTCAAGTTTTGGGGGAGAAGGGGATTATGAACATTTCCAAAAAGCATCTATTAGGTCAGGAGGAATGGCCATGTCGAACTTGATTGAGATCAATTTTTGTGTGCTTATTTGTGTTGTGATTAATCGTTCCGTTAACAGACAAACATAGTCATGCTGAACTTAAAATGGAATATATATTACAAAATAATAATATGTTACGCCCCCAAAATTAGTACTACTGAAACTGTGACATCTTCAACACACATATGGGTGTGTCATTGGTGCATCACAGCCACGTATTCCTAGTATTGAAGTGGAAGATATATGGGGCAGTTGTAGTTGGTAATGAATCTCTTAGAAATGAAACAATCCATCAAAAAAAAAAAGTTTTTCGTATAAATCCTTCATGAAATAAATCTAATATCGAACAAGGGGAGGGGGGGGGGGCTGCGGGGGATGAACTCTATTAATATTCTAATGACCAATCCACTTTTACAAATTTCGTATAAATCCTTCATGAAATAAATCTAATATCGAACAAGGGGAGGGGGGGGGGCTGCGGGGGCTGAACTCTATTAATATTCTAATGACCCATCCACTTTTACAACGCAGATTTATTTCACCAACTATTTCAGAAAAAAAAAATCAACCAAAGCCAGCCACGAACAAAAGCGAAGTTAACATTAAAGGAATTAAACACACATTCATAGATGTTTTGAAAACCCATTGTTCTTCGAAGATAAAAATTAAGCCGCATTGAACATTCTTGAATCAACCGAAAGTAAACTGAAAACCTTCCTTTAAGAGGCTTGAAAGAGCTCCGTTCTAAATTAAGGCTTATTATAAATGCCCAGCAGATTTTTCATTTCAATTCTAGGAATGCGTGGCAGTTGGAGCACTGCACTGTTTTGTTTTTTTTTTGACATTTTTGCGTTAACTGCACTTTGTATCTAAAATTATATTTTTTAAAACAACTGGTTTTTATTAGATTTTCCAAGGAAAGATGGACGGTAACGTTGATTTCAAAGCCAGGCTGTCCAGCTTTCGTTGCCTTTTCAACCTTGACCCACCTCGAGCGAAAGATAAAATAAAATCGATTAAAATCAAACTGGAAACTGAGTTGTTTGCGGACGACGACTCGGCTGAAGAGGTTGTTGAAAAACTCAATCTTTTCACGTGGGTAGAGTTTCATCTTGGCAACGCCGAGCTCGCCGGAACACGTAGCCGGAAAGTCCTTGAAATGACGGGTGGGCAGAACGTCACAGCTGTCGTAAACCAAGCCCACGTGTCGCTGAGCGAGGGCGATGGGGCGCGTGCTGAGCAGTGTTTAGAGAGGGCCGAGGAGCTGAGACGAAGCTGCGAAGGTGAGAAACTGATGACCGCAGTCGAAGCTGAACTGGCGTACTCGTTGAGCAGGTTAGGCGGGCTTGACAATTTAACACGTGCCATTGAAATGTACACCGATGTTGTAAAAAAGGAGCCCGAAATTTATGCGTGGAAATTCGGTCTTGGTTTACTGCACAGACGCGCGACACACACAAATGTGACCGTCAACATGGGTTCAAGATTGTCTGTTACAGAACACGCCAGCTTAGCATTTGAACTGCTAAAAGATGTGGCAGATCATTGTCCGTACGACAGTCTCAAAGGTAGAGCATATGCTCAACTGGCGATAATTCTATCGTACAACAAACGTTTCCAGAGCGATAACAGGTTTGAAAGGTTTATAGATGAGTCCTTAAAATACGGACCAAACGATGCTCGAATACTCACAGATTGTGGGCGAACTTTACGTTATTATGACTTAAACAAAGCTGCAAGTCTTCTGGAGAAATCTCTGAAGATAAAAATAAATTCGACCACAGTACATCATCTGGGACTGTGCTATGAAGAAAAAGCCAAACGTGAAGCCTACAATAATAATGATACGAGAATGCGTGGTCGTTATGGATTTGGAGGTAACTATATATTTAGTCGTCAGAGCACAAGTAGTGGGTCTATCATACGAAGAAGCCTCTCAAAAAAACTTGCACTCAGGAGGGACGATCCTCTCGTAGTTAAAGCGATTCAATGTTATCAAGCAGCTATAGACATTTCATGCGATTTTAATATTCCAGCTGTCTACAGTCTTGGGCTACTACTCAGCGCATGTGGTGAGTTCGAAGGAGCTCTCAAGCAGTTTAACCAAATAATTCTTCTGACTTCAAAGAAAAGTTACACCGGTAATGACCCACAGGAACTGCAAGAGCACAACGAATATTTTATCACGGCCACCAGGGCATACGAGCAAGGGGGAAATTGTCTTCTGGAACTTGCAAAATTGCCGGGGAAAACGAAGGAAGAAGTCGACACATTAAACAACACCGCAGAGCAAAAGCTTTTGCAGGCCTTTAGTTTGGCTGCCACTTTGTCTAATCTTGATCCGGGAATCAAAAGATATGATTTGCTGGTACGCAACGCGTTCAAAACTCTAGATACTAAATATGAAGAGATGAAACAATCACCGGCAATCATAAAGAGGTATCTCGAGCTCTTGAACAGTTCGAGTAAATATATAAGACTTCCTCTAGTCATTGAAAAGCTCCGACATTTGAGTGAAAAGAAATTAACAGACCCAAATGTCATCACAACAGGATTGGAGAGTTTTTTGGTCTTGAAGCAATATGAATCCGCCTTTGCGTTTCTCACGTGTCCCATGATAGCCCAACGCTGCAGTGGTCAGCTCCAGGCGCTCGCGTCAAAGGTCAATCTGTACACAGCCGCCTCTAGACTCCAAGCTTTGGATATCAGCGCTAAGTTCATCTTAAAACCATTTTTCGATGCTTGCTTTGAGAGAGACGACACACATCCCTACGAGCCTGATCCTCGCCCTTTGGTAAATGATGAGACAGAAGACACGCAAGTAGGTGCCGATGTTTTGATCCTCTACGACGTAAATGGGGGCAACTCAAGCGCTGATGTTTCTGTTAAGGTGAACACGTTACAAGAGATCATCTCGGGAGACTTTGGACTGAGTGTCAGAATAACTGATCAAGTAAGAGCCATTTAACAAAAAAAAAGTTTATATCATTCCAATTTTTACACACGAAATACGTATAGATCTATATAATAGTTTTTACTCAAAATGGATCAATTATTTTAAAATCATTCTAGTGTAGATATTTGTTCAGAGTGACGCATGCCATTTAAATATATTTTAAATTGATTGATACGGGGCGGACAGTAGCACAGGTCCCAAATTTACCGAAGTTGAAGCAACAGCTAAAGCTGATTCTGGTGGTGATTTTCGATTTTACAACAATGAAAATATTTCTCGTTGATGTTGAACTCATCATTACTTTAGACTTAAGCCCTTATCTACTTTTATACTTAAACCCCCACCCCCCAACCTTCACCCCTAAAATCTCAAGACAGTAATACATTTAACGCTCGTGCTTTTTACATCATCTGTAAATTCTCATCGCACGTCTGGAGAGACACTTTGGACTTTATTACACTCTGGCTGAAAATCTTTTTGTTTCACCACTTTTTACAAAAAAATCAAAACTTATTTGTATAAAATAGCAAATTAAATTTGTATCCCTTAGATTTTAAAAAAAAAAACACAAACAAACAAACAAATGTTCCCATTATATGAGCGGCACTACGCTGAATGATAAATTGTGTGAAACATTTCACACCGACATTTTGGGCACTCTATCCGTCCTATCACTGAATTAATAAATACATAGTCGAATAAATAGGAGTTTTTTCCTCATTATTGTGTAACTATTTACTACGTATGTTAATGTTATTCTGTGTGCACATGCCAGCACTGAGGTTGTTACACTAATTGATCTTGAAGTATATTTCTTGACAGAGACCAGTCACAGATCAAATAATGCCAGAGGAGCAGATGCGAGACATAAGGAGTTCTAGAACAGTTCTTATTTTACTAAACGGAGACCCGCTCTCAAGGTTTGAAATTAAATGAAAGTTACTTTTATTTTTTTTTTACATTATATTTTTAAGATGATTTATTATTAAATTGTAAAGAGAACAAACGTCATTAAAATCCAATCCATCATATAAATTTGAAAAGAAAAAAAAATTGAAGTATATTTCTATTGGAATATTGTGTAAGCATTGTGTATTTGAAAAAAAAAAAGTAATTTTAATATTTATAAGATTATTTAATTACTTTCTAGCGTTACTCAATAATTGTTTTAGGGTGTGCTCCTCTTACAAACAATACAGGTTCAATTTTTTTTTATTTGCTATTCGGTGGCGTGTGTCCTGTCCTAAAATACAATAACCTTGCCACCTACTTTTGTCCAAATTGGGTTGGTTCCAACTTCATTTTTGTTGTTTCTAAACTCGAATTTTAGTGATTCCAACCGATTAATAATTTTTTTTTTTTAAAGTAAAATGTATACTTTTACTCTAAATAATTTCTTTTCTCTCAATTTATGTTGACGTCATCCGATCCATGTTTAAATAAGCCAAACCATGGCAACTACCAATGATATAAAAGCGGATATGACGGGAACCAATCAAATTTTCAGTCCGAAAAAGTATAGTGTTTTTCCCAACGTGGTGTACCCCATAGTCTTCCTCTTAAATAAATCATTGTAAAGTCATAAGAACCTTTTTTTAAAAAAAATTCTAGCTCTTTCATGAGTATACTGGACCTCATCCCAACCTCCGAGATAGAGTGCAGTAATCAAGGCAAGCCTGGTCCACACATTTTGCTGGGGTTGAAAGATGACAGTGTAGAAGTCCCGCAGACACTTTTGGTACATGATAAGATCAATCTGTGGAGACTCCTGGGTAGAACTCAAGATTTGCTCAAACGTGACAATAACGAAGAAGTCAAAGCTGACCCCCAGGGCAACGGTGCGATGGCCCGTCATGACGTCGGAAAAACTCGTCAATTTACCAGCGAGGCTGATCCCGTCGACTCGTCACCTTCAAAGCCGGGTGAGGGTGAACAAGTGCAAGCACCCCAGGGCTCCGGTGACGAATTCAATGAATGTACCACGGCTAAGATGTCGCTTTACTGTGCGATGGTTGGCAAGAAGTGGCCCCTGTAACAACTCGACAGTTTGGTCATATCCCATTAGAACTGTTTATTTATATATATATATATTCTACGATTAATAAAACTGTCCTATTTATCCACAACACTATTGACAATTTGTGTATAATTTGGCATTTGCCAAAGAAAACCGTGGTGTTTTAATGATTTTTTTTCCTCAGATGTTTACTGTGCTCGGTTCTTTGTGATATTTTCATTTGTCCTGTGTGCTGAGGAAGGCTCTATGCCGAAACGTTATAATCTTGTTGTCCTTTCCTTAAATTCAAGCTTCCACATACCTCGTTTACTTAGCTTGAATGCAGTCCTTTAATTATCACATTTTTAAGCAATGCCTTTTCTTGATATTTCTGTCTTCATATGGCGATAATAAAGTTATTTTTATGGTATTAATATGGTGCTAATAAAGTTAATGATTGGTTTTCAAATGGTGCTAATCAAGTTATTTTTACGGTATTCATATGGTGCTAATTAATTTAATTTTATGATCTTGTTATAGCGCCTATTAAAGTTAATTTAGGCTCCAGTGAATTCCAAATGACTATGTTATCTACAAATGTTTCAAATTGGCTTTGTCCCACTCCTCCATATTCTGGATTGAACACATTTTAATGTGGACATTTCGATACAAGTAATCGAATCGTTGTTTCCATCTTAAAATTTCCTTTCCATTAAAATATACCATTTCCTGAGATCAAATCATAAACAAATATTTTAAGAGGATTTGTTTACTCCTCTGAATTGTTATGAATGATGATTCTATGCTTTTTTAAACTGTATATATGATTATGTTTTGAAGGAATTTTATGTTTTACTGTTATATAAAATAATAACTTTATTATTTTTTTTTATTTAATCACCTCTACCGAAGAGGCCTTATGTCTTGCCTGTTGGTATACATTTGCTTTTTTAACCTAATTTATTGTGGGTCCTACATGTGAAGTTAAAATTACACTTTTCTTTTGAACTGATAAAGTATAGAACAAAAACTTCTTCTTCTTTTTTTTGCCTGTAGCTTGTCTCAGAAGTGTTTTCATTTCATTGATTGTAGTGTCATTACTTTCAGTCAGTTGAATAGCCTGAACAAACTTTGAACGTCTGTCTGTATTTATTAAGTACTGAAATTTTTGGTCAGGATGCCAGTTCTTATGGGAATTTCCTAAGATGTTTATGATTTGTCATATTTTTCACTAGATTTTTTTTTTTATTGTTTTTTTCGATTATTAGTTTTATGTTTTATGAATTAAGTTGTATGTATTATAACATCTCATTAACATTGCCCTCTGAAGTTAGCAAGTTACACATTAATTGGAAAAGTGACCCAAAAAAACCACATACAATTAAAGCTATAAATTAGAGACATATTCCTGGGGCCGTCAATTTAATCCTAAACCAAATATTTTTTTGAAATATATAACATTGTAAAATAAATCTCTACAAGTGATATTCTTTTTTTTTTTTTTTTTACAATAACTGTGACTGCATGGTGCAACAGCTTTTTGAAGACACCATTTGACATCCCAATCCAATTTTTTTTAACAAAGTTAACTGTTAACAGGAGTGGTTTCTCTGGACAGTGCCGTATAATGCTTATTTGTACAGAGAGCTTTCTGAGTGAATACTTTTTTGTTGTTTTATTTATTTTTTAATTTTTTAAATTGTTTGTCTCTTCAATAACATTTTTATGCTAAGCATACATTTATGTCTTCTTCTTCTTTTTAGCTCTTCTCACTCACAATGGAGCTTAAGCCATCCACAATACTTTCCCATCTGTCCCTGTCCCGGGCTATCTTTGCTAGCTCATTCACAATGGAACATAGGCCATCCACAATACTTTCCCATCAGTCCCTGTACTGGGCTATCTTTGCTAGCTCACTCACAATGGAACATAGGCCATCCACAATACTTTCCCATCTGTCCCTGTAGTGGGCTATCTTTGCTAGCTCACTCACAATGGAACATAGGCCATCCACAATACTTTCCCATCTGTCCCTGTAGTGGGCTATCTTTGCTAGCTCACTCACAATAGAGCTTAGGCCATCCACAATACTTTCCCATCTGTCCCTGTCCCGGGCTATCTTTGCTAGCTCACTCACAATGGAACATAGGCCATCCACAATACTTTCCCATCTGTCCCTGTAGTGGGCTATCTTTGCTAGCTCACTCACAATGGAACATAGGCCATCCAGTTATGAAAGGGTAGACAGGGACATGTGGGCTATCTTTGCTAGCTCACTCACAATGGAACATAGGCCATCCACAATACTTTCCCATCTGTCCCTGTACTGGGCTATCTTTGCTAGCTCACTCACAATAGAGCTTAGGCCATCCACAATACTTTCCCATCTGTCCCTGTCCCGGGCTATCTTTGCTAGCTCACTTACAATGGAACATAGGCCATCCACAATACTTTCCCATATGTCCCTGTACTGGGCTATCTTTGCTAGCTCACTCACAATGGAACATAGGCCATCCACAATACTTTCCCATCTGTCCCTGTAGTGGGCTATCTTTGCTAGCTCACTCACAATGGAACATAGGCCATCCACAATACTTTCCCATCTGTCCCTGTACTGGGCTATCTTTGCTAGCTCACTCACAATGGAACATAGGCCATCCACAATACTTTCCCATCTGTCCCTGTAGTGGGCTATCTTTGCTAGCTCACTCACAATGGAACATAGGACATCCACAATACTTTCCCATCTGTCCCTGTAGTGGGCTATCTTTGCTAGCTAACTCACAATGGAACATAGGCCATCCACAATACTTTCCCATATGTCCCTGTAGTGGGCTATCTTTGCTAGCTCACTCACAATGGAACATAGGCCATCCACAATACTTTCCCATCTGTCCCTGTAGTGGGCTATCTTTGCTAGCTCACTCACAATGGAACATAGGCCATCCACAATACTTTCCCATCTGTCCCTGTA